AAAAAAAAAAAAAAAAAAAAAAATAGAGAATGAAAGCCAAGTGAAAGGGGTTTCTCCTTAGGAAACCATCAAATCTCATGACACTTATTCACTACCATGAGAACAGTATGGGGGAAACCGCCCCCATGATTCAGTTATCTCCCACCCGGTCTCTCCCACAACACGTGAGAATTGTGGAAGCGACAATTCAAGATGAGATTTGAGTGGGGACATAGCCAAACCATATCACTTGTATATGAATTAACACATATATTTAAAACATATATAATATGAACATATAAATTATGTATGTTTGGGAGGGAAATGTGTCACTTTTTTTTTTTTTGAGACAGAATCTGGTTCTGTCACCAGGCTGGAATGCAGTAGTGCGGTCCTGGCTCACTGCAACCTCCCCGCCTCCCGGGTTCAAGTGCTTCTCCTGCCTCAGCCTCCTGAGTAGCTGGAATTGCAGGCATGTGCCACCATGCCCAGCTAATTTTTGTATTTTTATTAGAGACGGGGTTTCAGTATGTTGGCCAGGATGGTCTTGATCTCTTGACCTCGTGATCTGCCCGTCTCGGCCTCCCAAAGTCCTGGGATTACAGGTGTGACCCACCATGCCCAGTTGAGTGTATCTAAAGTAAGCTTAAAAATCAGAAGCTGTAACATCTGAGAATCCACTACCATTCAACGCCTTTTTTCTTCCTGCTCCCACTACAAGTCTGAAATGGACCAGGGAGCTTTTATTTATCAATACAGTGAATACGCCTCTTTGCCTGTGACCTCCTCAGAGTCATTTGTCTGTTCTCAGAATGTAACCGGAAGACTCCTGGTGGGCCTGCGATGGTGGAACCAGATAGATGAAGACGGGAAGAGCCACTGGATCTTTGAAGCCAGGAAGGTATTCTCCATGGCGAGCTGAACTAACCAGGGTGGTGATAATGGGCGTGGAAAGTTTCCATGGGTTCCTTCGTAGTTTTGTGCGTATCTGATTCCTGCCCTACACAAAACCACTGCTGTGGGTACCCTGGTGAAGCATGTGTGTAGCAAAAGTATCTGCAAAATAGGTTGGGCACAGTGGCTTATGCCTGTAATCCCGGCACTTTGGGTGGGTGGAACACTTGAGGTTGGGAGTTCAAGACCAGCCTTGGCAACATGGTGAAACCCTGTCTCTACTAAAAATACAAAAAGTAGCCAGGCATGGTGGCAGGCACCTGTAATCCCAGCTACTCAGGAGGCTGACGCAGGAGAATCACTTTGAACCCAGGAGGCAGAGGTTGTGGTAAGCCAAGATCATGCCATGGCACTCTAGCCTGGGCAACACAGAGACTGGGTCTCAAAACAAAACAAAACAAAACAAAACAAAAAAACGCCACAACAAAAGCATCTGCAAAATAAATGAGAATGCGAGCACGCTGTTTTGCAATCATTTCCACTTGTTTTGACAGTTGAATTACTTTCCTTTAACAGGTCTCTCCAAATAACATCGCTGCCACAGAAGCGGAAGCACGAATCTTCTGGCTGGGCCTCATAATCTGCCCCATGATATGGACTGTATTTTTTTTTAGCACCTTATTTTCCTTGAAGCTAAAGTGGCTGGTAAGTCCATACTTTGACTTCCACATTGCTTTGATGTCTCTGTAAAACCAGTGTCTGCACCAGTAGGCTTTTGTTGTTATTTGTTCTTGATTGATCAATTGTAACAAGCTTATTGAGATATAATACACATTCCATACAACTTACCTATTTGAAGTGTATAATTAGGGGCTGGGCATGGTGGCTCACGCCTGTAATCCCAGGCCTTTGGGAGGCCAAGGAGGAGGATTGCTTGAGCTCAGGAGTTCGAGACCAGCCTGGGCAATATAGCAAGACCCCATCTCTGCAAAAAATACAAAAATTAGCCAGGCATGCTGATGTGCATGCTTAAGCCTGAGAGGCAGAGGTTGCAGTGAGCCAAGACTGTGCCCTTGTACTCCAGCCTGGGTGCTTGAGTGAGACTCTCCAAAAGTAAAATAAAGTGTGAAATTCAGTGGCTTCTGGTGCAGTCACAGAGTTGTGCAGCCAGCACCACCATCAATGTTAGGGCATGTTCATCACCTAAAAAAGAAGCCTGGCACCCCCTTTCAACATGGCTTCCCTAGGCTTCTGTTCCTCTAAGGTCTGGCACCGACTAATTTTTCCGTCTCTATGGATTTGCCTATTCTGGGCATTTCGTATAAATGGACTCACATAGGCCAGGCATGGTAACTCATGCCTATAATCCCAGCACTTTGGGAGGCCAAGGCAGGTAAATTACCTGAGGTCAGGAGTTCAAGACCAGCCTGGCCAACCTGACAAAACACTGTCTCTATTATAAATACCAAAACTAGCTGGGCATAGTGCACATGCCTATAATCTCGGCTACTTGGGAGGCTGAGGCAGGAGAATCACTTGAACCTGGGAGGCAGAGGTTGCAGTGAGCGCCACTGCTCTCCAGCCTAGGCGACAGAGCAAGACTCCATCTTAAAAAATAAGAGAGAGAGAGAAAGAGAAAACAAAATACTTGTAGATAGTAAAACAACAGTGTCATCTAATGAGTTTGGGCTCTGGAATTTGGATCCCGGCTCGACCACGCTCCAGCTTTGTGACCTTGGGCAGCTTTCGTCTTCCTGAGCCTCATTTTCCTCCTTGTAAAATGGGACGATGATGGTGGCAGCCTCTCTGGTTGTAATGATCCGGAGGTGTCCATGGGTATTTGTAAATGCTCAGTCAATGTTGGCTGTTACTAGTCTTAGGCGTAGGCTAGAGCTACTTCTCCTTGGCTTGAGAGGCGTATTTCTCTAAGTGCTCTTCGAGTGACCTTTGTCTTCTTTGCGTGCAGGCGCTGGTGGTTGCTGGGATCTCTCTCCAAGCTGCAAACCTGTATGGCTACATCCTTTGTAAGATGGGAGGCAACAGTGACATCAGCAAGGTCACAGCCAGTTTCCTGTCCCAGACGGTGTTCCAGACGGTGAGTTATTGAGGTCTGACTCCTCGACCACTCCTCTCCAGGTAGTCAAAGTCAAGGTGGCCTGCTGGCAACTGCGGTATGTAATGTAACATATCAGCCAGGCTGCCATTGTTTTATTATTTATTTTTTGGGAGACAGGGTCTCGCTCTGTCACCTAGGCTAGGGTGCAATGGCGTGATGGTTGCAGCAATCCACCTGCCTTGGCCTCCCAAAGCGCTAGTATCATAGTCATGAGCCACCATGCCTCGCAGTTTTGTTTTTTAATTGTTAAGATTTAAATAAAAAATACCATTTTAACCATTGTTGTAAAGTGTACAGTTCTGTGGCATTAAGTATAACCACCTTGCTGTGCACCTTCCCCCACCCAGCTCCAGAACGGCCTTCATCCTGCAAAACCTAAGCTTGGTACCCGTAAAACCTTACCTCCCCCTTCTCCTCGCCTCCTGCCCCTACAACCAGCACTCTGCTTTCCGTCTATGGGTTTGACTGCTCTAGGGACCTCCTGTAAGTGCAATCATAGTTTTTGTCCTTTTGTGACTGCCATAGTTTTCAGTAATTTTTTTAAACCACAGAATTAAGGAAGGAGTCACAAAGAGTTTTTTTTTTTTTTTGAGATGGAATCTCACTTTGTCACCAGGTTGGAGTGCAGTGGGGCGATCTCGACTCACTGCAACCTCCGCCTCCCAGGTTCAAGTGATTCTCCTGCCTCAGCCTCCTGATTAGTTGGGACTATAGGCGCACGCCACCACGCCCAGCTAATTTTTATATTTTTAGTAGAGATGGGGTTTCACCATGTTGGCCAGGATGGTCTCAATCTCTTGACTTCGTGGTCCACCCACCTTAGCCTCCCAAAGTGCTGGGATTTAGGCATGAGCCACCGCGCTCGGCTTAGTTTTGTTTGTTTGTTTTGTTTTGTTTTTGAGATGCAGTCTTGCTCTGTCTCCCAGGCTGCAGAGCAATGGTGCGTCCTTGGCTCACTGCACACTTCACCTCCGGGGTTCAAGTGATTCTCCTGCCTCAGCCTCCTGAGTAGTTGGGATTACAGGTGCACACCACCATGCCTGGCTGATTTTTGTATTTATAGTGGAGATGGAGTCTCGCCATGTTGCCCAGGCTGGTCTTGAACTCCTGGCCTCAAGTGATCTGCCAGCCTAGGCCTCCCAAAGTGCTGGGATTATAGGCTTGAGCTACCATGCCCAGCCATTTTTTTTTTTTTTTTTTTTTAAACTTAACAGATATTTCTAAAAGTGAGAGGTAGAGGTCTTTCAAACTTGTCCAGGTTCATCCTGAAATGGTTTGAACCACCTTAAATTTGAACAGCGCTGCTTTATGCCAAGACATCAACCAACCAATTCCGCAGGTTTTCTGTAGTTTGTGGGTTTTCTCTGGCCTTAAATCAGCAGGATTGGCCCACTTGCATATAAAGACAGATAACCATGGTTGACTTTTCCCCTTCCAGGCCTACCCAGAGGACTTTCAGAAGCCTGGCCTTGAGGGGTTGGAGATTCACCAACATTAGGTGAGAAATGGATCATGGCACCCATTTGGAGGGGCTGGGAGTTCTGAAAAATGCAGCTTTTGGGGTCCAGGGGCCCAGGCTGTGGGTGGGTTTCCCCTGTTCCCTGGGGTGGCCAGGTGCATGGCCAGGCAGGAAGCAGGCTGGGCACTGGGCCTGCCCTAGGCTTTGCAGCCTCACTGCTCTTGGGGCGAGAGCTAGGGGGTGGGGGACAAGGTCACAGCTTCCTCACACTGCACATGTGCAAATGACCATATGTGCAGGCCCAGGGAAGGGTGGGAGGGAAAAGAGACAAGGAAGGGAAAGAACAAGGGGATTTGTTCTTGTTTCCCACTCGCCCACTTTTATGCCCCAGAGCTGATGGAAAACAGGAATTTACTCTTCTCCCAGCTATCTCTGATCCTGTGTGTCTAAACAGAGCAAGCATCTCATGGCAGTGATGACTGTAGCAATTACAGCTGTCTAATGACACTGGACATTACTGGATATACTGTGCACATGTTACTACACAGGGTGTATACACAGACCCCAAATTCTGTCTTACTGAGTGATTCAAGGCTTTTTTGAGTTGACCCAGCTGCATCATACGGAGTGATTTTAGAACAAACCCCAGTGTGAGCTCTGTGACTTTTAGATTTTTCCTCAATCTGAAGAGTGTTTGGACTGTGTGCCATTTGAAAATGTACCTGTGTGTTGCGCAGCGATGCGCTACACTTACCCCTTGGTTCTGTTCTAGCTTTCTTCTCTTCAGAGGCAGAAATGGCTTAAATGGGAGTTTCTATAATCGACTAAGCTTCCGACAGCAGAATCCCATGGTCCCATAATCCGTTTGTTTTTGACATGAGACAGGCCTCGGAGGAGAGGTTTGAAGAGGGGTTTTTAATTCTTAAAATGGCACATTTGTAAAGAATGCCCTTTGTATATGTTCTAAAGAATAGTGTACACATACTCGATGATCAAAGTGTCTCTGAGAAAGTGGCTTCGGACCACACCAGGGTCATGTCCCTTTTTGCTGTGACCCACCCATCCTGGAGCTGGTTGGGTCTGGCTGGATGTGCTGCCCCGTGAATACCCCGCTCGCTAACTGCTGGTCCTGAACATTCTCTTGTTTCAAGAACTGATGAGGTTCTCTTCTTCTGACTGACGGAGATTGCAAAACTCCTGGATTTCTGGAAAACAAGATGACAGGCATAGAATGCTCATGGCTTGTCTGCCCCCTGACAGCCCTGTCCTGTGCTGGGGAAGAGCGGGGGGCATTTTTTTTATCAGGGGTGGAATCCTCTGGCTAGTTCCATAAAAAGCCCTGTGTCTGTGATGCCCTGAGTCTTTGAAAGTGACCCAAATACCTCACACCACCCATCACGGTCATAACCAATGGCTGAGGCCTTCCTTGGCCCATCTATAGATGGAGGATTCTGGGAATGCTGTTTCCTTACCCTTGACATCATTTTTCTAGGCAAGTAAAACCCAGCCACAGACTCAGAGGCTGCAGCTTTAACAAACACTGACAATTCTGCCTTAACTGAGGCCTCTGATGGCTGCCAGTGGCTGAATGTGGGCCACACTTGGGTTTGGTCTGGGTCACCATGGTTTATTTATTTATTTATTTATTTAAACAGATACAGTCTCACTCTGTTGCCCAGGCTGGAGTGCAGTGGCATGATCTGGGCTCACTCAACCTCCACTTCCCAGGTTCAAGCCATTCTACCTCAGCCTCCTGAGTAGCTGGGCAGGAGTGTGCCACCACACCTGGCTAACTTTTTTATTTTTAGTAGGGATGGGGTTTTGCCATGTTGGCCAGGCTGGTCTTGAACTCTCGACTAGCCTCAAGTGATCTGCCTGCCTCCTCCCCACAAAATGCTGGGATTACAGGTGTGAACCACTGCACCTGGCTTGTTGTTCTTGTTTTTAAATCAGTTACTTTTCAAAATCAATTACTTTATGGCTTTATTAGGATATATTTCCTAAACCATAAATTTCACCCTCACCACTATTTTTTAAACTATGAATGTGTTCACAATATTCACATGCTGAGAAACTTCTCATGGACTCCTGGCTTCCTGGGCTATGGGCCACTCTGTGGTCATCGCAGACCCCGCCACCCTGTCCTTCCACACCCCACACGCTTAGCTCCTTTATGTTGCTTCCTGCCCCACATGCCTCTGCATTTCCTACTCACGGAAATACTTACTCTGAATTATACTTCTGTAGGCTAACGTGGCTGGGGAATCTGGGGCATCAATCAAAAAAGACTGGCCTTTGTCACAATTCTTACCTTAAAAGAAACAAATGGAATACAATTCAATCCAAGAGGAAAACTCAGTGGCTACAAGATCTTGGGGCTCTTTCTGTGCTGGTGACAATGGGAAGGTCTTGAGTCCTTCACTTGTAATGAAGAGCAAAGCAGAACAGGCTATTGGGTCTCTGGGACCCTCCTTCCAGCAGGGTGCCCAGCCAGCATTTCAGCATGGCTAAATCATCAGGTGGTGTGTGGCAAATGCAGGTTCTGGGGCCCTACAGAGAACTGATTGAGCAGCTTCCAGGTGGGCCCAGGAGTCTGCATTTTCAGAGATTAACTAGCTTTAGAGTAAAAGGATCATGAATGCACATGGTTGAAAAAAGTGCTGAGGTGCTCCAGCAGACTGGGGTGCTCCAATAGACTGACACACTCTAGCAGACTGAGGTGCTCCAAGAGACTGACACACTCCAGCAGACTGAGGTGCTCCAACAGACTGACACACT